GATATTACTCTCACACCACACTGTAAGAAAAAGTCCTAATATAAAAGTATTTTACAGTTTTGTACTGTTCTTCTAGAATATCATTAAATTTACATAAATAGACTGTGATTTCACATTTCAAATGTAAATTAACGTAAAATAACTGTAATGTAATAAAACATAATTTTCATGATTATTAAATGTATCTGTCTGTGCATATGCATATTTAGATTGTTAAAATACGTTCACAAATGTATCATGATTTCACAAATATTTGTCCGTTATTTGAAAGATTGAACTGTTAAATTCAAATGTGGAAAAATATATGAAATGATTCTCATAAACTTTGTTAACATCAAATAATCATTACTATTATTGCTGTTTAGGGCGATCGTAGCTCAAGATATGGCAGTTCGCCTTGCAATCAGAAGGTTGCCCGTTCGAGCCCCGGCTCGCACACTCGGTCTTTGTGTCCTTGGTCAAGACACTTCGTCTACTGGTGATGGCCAGAGGGGCCAATGGTGCAATATGGCAGCCTTGCCTCTGTCAGTTTGTCCCAGGGCATGCAATCCATTATTATTTGAACCAACTGTTAACTGTAAATTTCTGTACATTTAAGTATTATTATTCATATTGCCACATTCATTGACCTTGTTTATAGGTAATTTCATTGTTTAATCACATTAACATGTTCCTAATTTAATGTTTAAAAGCACTTGAAGAAGGCAAAATCCCATGTAAAATTAGGGCAACAAACTGTACAGGGAGTGCAGAATTATTAGGCAAGTTGTATTTTTGAGGAATAATGTTATTATTGAACAACAACCATGTTCTCAATGAACCCAAAAAAACTCATTAATATCAAAGCTGAATGTTTTTGGAAGTAGTTTTTAGTTTGTTTTTAGTTTTGGCTATTTTAGGGGGATATCTGTGTGTGCAGGTGACTATTACTGTGCAGAATTATTAGGCAACTTAACAAAAAACAAATATATACCCATTTCAATAATTTATTTTTACCAGTGAAACCAATATAACATCTCCACATTCACAAATATACATTTCTGACATTCAAAAACAAAACAAAAACAAATCAGCGACCAATATAGCCACCTTTCTTTGCAAGGACACTCAAAAGCCTGCCATCCATGGATTCTGTCAGTGTTTTGATCTGTTCACCATCAACATTGCGTGCAGCAGCAACCACAGCCTCCCAGACACTGTTCAGAGAGGTGTACTGTTTTCCCTCCTTGTAAATCTCACATTTGATGATGGACCACAGGTTCTCAATGGGGTTCAGATCAGGTGAACAAGGAGGCCATGTCATTAGTTTTTCTTCTTTTATACCCTTTCTTGCCAGCCACGCTGTGGAGTACTTGGACGCGTGTGATGGAGCATTGTCCTGCATGAAAATCATGTTTTTCTTGAAGGATGCAGACTTCTTCCTGTACCACTGCTTGAAGAAGGTGTCTTCCAGAAACTGGCAGTAGGACTGGGAGTTGAGCTTGACTCCATCCTCAACCCGAAAAGGCCCCACAAGCTCATCATTGATGATACCAGCCCAAACCAGTACTCCACCTCCACCTTGCTGGCGGGACTGGACTGGAGCTCTCTGCCCTTTACCAATCCAGCCACGGGCCCATCCATCTGGCTCATCAAGACTCACTCTCATTTCATCAGTCCATAAAACCTTAGAAAAACCAGTCTTGAGATATTTCTTGGCCCAGTCTTGACGTTTCAGCTTGTGTGTCTTGTTCAGTGGTGGTCGTCTTTCAGCCTTTCTTGCCTTGGCCATGTCTCTGAGTATTGCACACCTTGTGCTTTTGGGCACTCCAGTGATGTTGCAGCTCTGAAATATGGCCAAACTGGTGGCAAGTGGCATCTTGGCAGCTGCACGCTTGACTTTTCTCAGTTCATGGGCAGTTATTTTGCGCCTTGGTTTTTCCACACGCTTCTTGCGACCCTGTTGACTGTTTTGAATGAAACGCTTGATTGTTCGATGATCACGCTTCAGAAGCTTTGCAATTTTGAGACTGCTGCATCCCTCTGCAAGATATCTCACTATTTTTGACTTTTCTGAGCCTGCAAGTCCTTCTTTTGACCCATTTTGCCAAAGGAAAGGACGTTGCCTAATAATTATGCACACCTGATATAGGGTGTTGATGTCATTAGACCACACCCCTTCTCATTACAGAGATGCACATCACCTAATATGCTTAATTGGTAGTAGGCTTTTGAGCCTATACAGCTTGGAGTAAGACAACATGCATGAAGAGGATGATGTGGACCAAATACTCATTTGCCTAATAATTCTGCACTCCCTGTATTGTCATTACTGAAAGTAACCGTATTTTTATGAGGAAGTTATTTTCTTTTATTTGATGGTATTATTTTGGCGCCCCAGCTGCTGGAATATTACTGTTTTTCTAGGTTTTTCTTAAACAGTGCACAGAGAGAGGGGCAGTCCCTGTGTGGTGGCGGATTTCTTTTCTTATGTATTAATCACATATTTTAATCATATCACATTAGTATAGCAAGAGCACTCTTGTCAGTTAGTTGCATGTGCACTACAATTGGGCCTTATGCTCTACACACACACACACACACACACACACACACACACACACACACACACACACACACACACACACACACACACACACACACACACACACACACAGTGAGGCCATTTTAATGGGAGACATTAAACAGATAGTGACACACCTTCTGCTTATCAGTGATGTAAATCCTTATGTGTCGGCTAAGTAGAAAACAAGATCATAATTCTCTCTGTGAGGGAGGGGGATTAAGGATGGGGCTGAAGGTATAGAGATATATGCAATGATGTGGAATGTTCTTTGTTTGAGAGTGTTCTGGGAAGGTATAAAAGAGTTCAGGGTGGTGTCCATCCTCAGAAAACTGTTTGGTGCTTGATGTGAATGCTTTTCTCCAGTGTAGTGCTTTTCTTTTTCTTTTCCTTTTCTTTAATAAACTTCACTTTACACGCTCACCTGGAAGTTGCAGTTTAATTTAAGATTTTCCACAACACCTGTCTCCCCCACAACATTCAACCTGTGGCATGGAATAGATTACCTATCAGGCTGCTTTGGTAAAGGGAAAGTTATGCCTGTAACATTTTTTTAAAAATATATTTTTTCTTTTTCTTTCTTTTTTTAACCAAAATTTAAAGGTGACACAGCTGAGGGGCGAAAGAGCCGTATTCTGCTCACGAGCTGTGAGTTGCCAACCCCTGGTATAAATTATATCAGCAAATGTGATTCAGGATATTCTTTCTTCTGTATATATTATTTTAGTTTTAAAGTATCACTATCATGTCATAAAATATATAAACAGCTTCTGGGTTATTTAAAGTGAGATGTGTCCAGACCATTTACAACATAAGCTTGACTGTTTTATTGGCTTCAATCTATTTTTGTGGTGCAGGGCTTATATACATCAAAATGTCAATAAAATCCACACTACTAAAATATTTGGTTTGAAGTCTGCATTTTTAGAGTGCACCACACCACTACCCTTTACTGCACTCTAACACAGAACCACACACCTGAATATGGTTGGAAGCATCTTTGAAACAGCTTACCTTTTGTCTTTCTTTGATGTTGTTGGTCAGCAGATCTACAATGTAGGATTAGAGCCTTATTAACTGCTTCTGAAACAATTTACTTTGTGTAATCAGCTGATTGTTCATGTGATTAAATAATGATAATTAAGGAATAGTAACAAATAAGAGCACCATAAAAGGTTAAAGTTACAAAGTACAGTACTTGTATGAATGTACAGCATAGTTCTTTTGCATAATGTCCTGTAATAGCCAATTTGAAACTGAAACCTTTACCTGACGTTTGTTGCTTTTTGGATGTCTTCAGCTGGTTTTTCGTTTTTTGTTCCGTTACTACCCATGGTACAGGACCTGAGCTGCTTTTCGGCGTGTTCTAAAGGTTTCTGAGTCTTTTGAGCTTTCTCTTTTTTCTGCTGCTGCTCAACTTTGGATCAAAACGTGCCCTCTACAACCAACACACACACAGAAAAATTGAAGCGAGGAAGCACTACCAGTGAAGAAAAAACACCGAGCAGCACATTTTTAGTACGGCTTATGTACCCTACCAGTCAAACATTTTGGACACACCTTCTCATTTATTGTTTTTTCTTTATTTTCAATACTATTTACATTATAGAATTAAGGCATCAATCTATGAATGAACACAAATGGAATATTGTAGTAAACAAAAGCTATTTCACACTTTTGTTTCTCTCAGTGAAGCTAATTGACAGAAAGCCAAAGGCTTGCAGCAATGTCAACAAATGAAAGGGTGGCTACTTTGAAAAATCCACAATCTAAAACATATTTAGAGTTATTTATCAATCCTTTCTTTGCTAGATAATTCCATACATCTTGCTTTATATATTTGGTGTTTTCAGTATGTATCTATGATGTAGAAAGTAGTAAAGTAAAGTAAAGAAAAAACATTAAATTAGAAGGTGTGTCCAAACTGACTGATAGTGTATACAGCACAAATGTTATCTATTTCACATCGTATGTAAGAAAAAACAGAGAAAGACACAACAAAGAAAATCAGTGCACATACAAAAGTTAACAAAATAATTTACTATTCATATGTGTTAAGTGTTCAGTGGGCAAACAAAAGAAACAAAAAACAATACTAATTCTAGTCCACTGCATGCTAGACTTCTTCTTACTTCCACTTTTTCCTTTCCTCTATATTCTTCCTGCTTCATCATCTTGCCTAACACAAATATAAATTTTAACAGTCATACTGAATGCAAACTTGGTGGCAAAACTTACTGTCAGATAAAGTCTTTCAATCCTGTTCAGTAAAAGGTTGTGTGGTGTCTGCAGGGTGTGCTCATCTTTGTGTCTATTATATGAACCGGTTATGCAACTACTGGAGGTGTGTCAGCTGTGAAGCTACAAATAATGTGTTGGACAGAAGCTTGAACACTCATCTCTCTCACCTGTGTAGTTACCACACTGAATACAAATTATGGCTTCATCTACATCAGGTAAAAATATTTAATCTGCTGTGTTTATAATTATTGTTGGTAAAATGTCAAGATGTCAACATTTCAGAAGAGTTAAACTGAAGCTTTGAACCCTGTTTCAGATTCGGGTGTGATGAGTGAAAAAATTGATGAGAAGAAGAGTGCTGAGGCTTCATCTACATCAGGTAAAAATATTTAATCTGCTGTGTTTATAATTATTGTTGGTAAAATGTCAAGATGTCAACATTTCAGAAGAGTTAAACTGAAGCTTTGAACCCTGTTTCAGATTCGGGTGTGATGAGTGAAAAAATTGATGAGAAGAGTGCTGAGGCTTCATCTAAATCAGGTAAAATGTATTTAATCTGCTCTGTTTATATGTGTTATATGTGCTCATATGCACGGAAATACATGAAACGTATTGACATAACCTTTCAGATGTGTTAAACTGAAGTCATGAATTGTGTTTCAGGTTGTGATTTGAGGATTGTGATGATTGGAAAAACTGGTGTGGGAAAGAGTGCTGTTGGAAACACCATCCTGGGAAAAAAATATTTCAAGTCTCTTCCCAGTTCAGAGTCGGTGACTGAAACCTGTAAAGCAGGTGAAACAGATGGGGCCGTGAGAAAAATTTCTATTACAGACACACCAGGGATCATTGATACTAAGCTATCTGAAGAGATGATCAAAAAGGAAATTATAAAATGTGTTGAAGTCTCCAGTCCAGGTCCTCATGTTTTTCTACTGGTGCTCCAAGTCGGTCGATTCACCACAGAGGAGAAAAACTCTGTGGAAGCCCTGCAGGAGCTGTTTGGTCCAAAAGCTCAGCATTACATGATTGTGCTGTTCACCCATGGAGATGATCTTGAAGACCAGGAAATCACCATACAGCAGTATGTACATGAAGCCAAATCAGGCCTCAGACAAGTCATCCAAAGCTGTGGAAACAGGTTCCACGTCTTCAACAACAGAAGCAAAGACAGAAAGCAGGTGGAGGAGCTGATGAAGAAGATTGATGACATGGTGGCAGGAAACGCCGACACATACTACACAAATGAAATGTATAGAGAGGTGGAAGAAAGGAAACAGAAACAGAAACAGAAACAAGCTGAGATGGAGGACGAAGAATACAAGTTCCTGGGTCGACTGATAGAGCAGATTCTGCGTTTTTATTTTCGCTTAAAAAAGAATAAAAACATATTAGATGATGTAAACCTGTAGACAAATATCTGTGGTGTTAATTTGCCCTGGTTAGATTTGACCTTTGTGTTGACAGTAAAGAAATCTTAGTTAAGAAGAATGAGTTTTAAAACAGTAGTGATAAATCAAGCTGTGATATGCTACAAATATTTTTATAAAAAATATTTCTTATATATATATGTGTGTGTATCAGAATCAGAAGACTTTATTGATCCCAAGGGGAAATTATGTTGCTTACAGTGCTCCAGTACAATCAGTAACAAAAACAGACAACACTAGAAGTAAGAAATAGAACAATATATGTAATATATACATGCATATAAGTCGCTTACTGATGAATATCTGAATGAGAAGGAAAGAAAGAAAGAAGAGCATGTGTAAAAAAGGTTGTAGCTATTGCAGTATACAGTGTGTTAGGTACAGGGAGATGGCCACATCTTTTCATATATATATATATATATGAAAATAAATATTTTCTATTGTACAAAAAAATCTATTTTCTATAGTTACAAACTTACCTATTTGTAACAAACCCTGTTGGATATGTTTGAATTAATTTTATGATATTTAATGTAATTTACTGATAATCTAAGCTTTTATGAATCATTCTGATTTGTCAAAAAATAGGTTCGAAGAACAATGTGTGTTTGAGATTCTGTGTGTGGCTTCGTATTAAAACCTAATTCTTAAAATCTTTTTGTTTATATTGTATCTTTATTTTAACATGTTAAAACAGTATAACAACAACAGAGAAAGAGAGACACAAACAAACAAAGCAAAACAAAAGGAAAAAAAACAATAATAATTATAAATAACTTATATGACCAGAAAGGAGTATGATAAAGCACAAGTTTATTTAATCCCATCCCTTTTCCACTATTCACTAACTAATAGTAAACACTTTTTCTTTCTGTTTATGCCCTGTCCATAATTAATTCTTCCTTATCATTTGTTACATGTATTTATTTTTAAGCCCAGTAACGTGTCACATATACAAAATATACAGGCTTACAGATATATATTCTTATATAAACATAGTTGTGCACCCCCACACACATACAGTATATACACATTCCTAGTGTGAAAATAGTGGGTGAGAACACCCAATCAGAGCCCTACCTCCTCCCTGTACTTTGCAAAAACCATATTTTTGAACCACTTTTTAAACTGACTCATGCTAGGACATTGCTTCAGTTCTTTACTTAGTCTGTTCCACAGCTTCATTCCACACTTCACACAGAGATGCAAAAACTTTGAGTTGGGAGTGCGCACTGGGTTTTCCAAATCATGAACAACCAGTATCCCTCATTCTTTAGTTTAGTTTTTAGCTCGCAAACACTTCTTATTACTTATTACTCCTGAAGTTTTGGAGGTTTTCTCTTTATTCAGTACAGTTACTGATGGATACGAATAATTATAAGGCAAAACATCCTCTGTTTGTTGAAATAAGTCTCTCAGATACCACGTGAGAACAACTAATGCATCATTTTCTGTTGATACATTACATCAGTTCCACAAACTGAATGGTAATGTGCTGACACTCATATTTAACTTTTTCACAAAAGTAAAACATCACTTCTTCCATGTGTAGTTGGTTGGAGTGGAGGCGGAGTCAACTGGATCTGCATCCCCTGCCCAGTGCGTGCTCCTGACCCATGGGGGAAACTGACTCTGTCGGGTATGACTCAGGTATGGGTTGCTGATAGTTGGCCTTTATTTAAGCTTTCTCCCAGCTGGATGCTGGCACCATCACAGTTGTCTATTTGACAATACACACTCAACACCAATTAATCAGTTTTTTCACACTTCTCTTTCAGCTGTTCTCTCCCCCTCTGGCCTCGGCAGCGATTGCAAAATAGCAATAGTGTCAAGTAAATAACAGATCTCAACTGTGTTTGCCAGCCTCCCCTGACACTAAATGCTGAATCCACAGCTCCATCCCTCCCCTGCAGCCCCACCACAATAAGGTTATTAGAGGCCACAGTTTGTCAGAAAGAAACAAGGGTGTTGCTGTTGTTTAACAAACATGACAGATAATTGGATAGTGATGTGGAAAAACCAGTAACACCTTTTGGTTTCCACTGAAAAGGTTTCAATGATACTTGTGTTGAAGAGCAATAACAAAACACAAACTTTACAGATTCTCCATTAAGAAGAGAATTTTGTGAATGTTGTAGAACAAGAAAGCAAGGCGTTCTGTGAAACCATCTTAGTCATGTTGGTGCAGGCTATGCCATTTTGTGGCGGATCAGGTCGCAGTCACTTAATAGTGACAGTGAATTGAATTACATTGAAAAACAAGGTACAAAAACTGTTTTCACATGTGGGATTTGTACAGTGGTGATTGTCTCAGCTCCAGGTGTGGTGATCCTTCCAAAACATACTCTCCACAATTTCTCTAAAGATATTTATGAAGTTCTTAGTGCTCTTTACAAAACTCTCCATGGGTTTCCTGGACAAAAATAAAACCACAGTTAAGTTTCCTTCATGAAGTAACAAGACAATCACTTAAGTTTCATTGTTGTCGTCATTCAACAATCCAGCATCGACTGAAGCTCTCTAAGCTCACTTTTCTAAATACTGACTCTTGACACAATCATCAGCAGCAAGTTTGTGATTGTCAGCAGGTGGATGCAGCCCGAGAGCGGGAAAGTCTCGATGCTGCACAAAGTCAAGTTCACTAGCTGGGCCCACATCCTCATTTTAGATTTGACAGCGTTTTTTAATGAGATACAGGCAAATGAGTTAAACATGAAATGAGCTGTGGTTTGGGGAAGGCCTCGAAGGGGACTGGCTGCGGGTCCTGGCAGATCCCCAAAGAAGGCATTCCCTAGAAGCAGTAATATCTGTGCGTCACAAAGTTCAAAGACCTCTGCGGTAATATAATGGTATCCAGGCTAGCAAGAATAAGTAGCCGATGGCTTCAATAAGGTGAGCAAGGATTTCATAGAATGGAGTGGATAAGCTGGGAGAATTAGGAAGGAGTGGCAATAGAAGAGATCAAAGGAAATTTCGGACAAAGAAAGACCTTATTAGGTGAATGAGGGGAACCCTCGATCAGGTAGGGACGTGGCTCGATTCTGAACTGATGCTCTGACAGTGACGCATGCCGGGTTTTTGAGACTTTGAGGTAATGGCATGGCAGCTCATAAACACTAATCTGAGCTTGTCTTGGAGTAGAAGATGGAGAGAGTATGCAGAGGCCTGAAATTTATAGATGCATCATACAGACCACAGACAATCAGTATTTTGGAAAATATTATCACCCCAAAGGAAATCACAAGAGTCAACAAGACAGTGCAGACACAATAGTGCAATAGAAATGTGCAAAAGAAGACTTGTTTTGTACAAAGTAACTTGGTGTATGAAGGTGTGCGCATGTGTACTGTATGTATGAGAGTCTGCAGATAAGTGCTTGGTAGTGATATGTATGAAAGTATGTGTGTGTTTTCTCTAGCAATGTAAGCAAGTTGTTTTTATATCTAACCAAACAACATTTCTCTTTAAAACAACTTAAATTATAGTAGTCAAAAATTTTATTCAGATACAGGTTTGGCTGTGAAAGTCTTAAATCAGGGAGGCAAAGCTCATGGACCCCTGAAGAAATGTACAGTTGGACCAAGATATCGTATCTGAGGTACCACTTGGGAGGTGGGAAAGTGCACCTTCAGACAGAGAAGACAGCAGTCATAGCATCCTGTCTGTGTCCAAAGACCAAAAAAGAGCTGAGGTGGTTTTTGAGACTTGCTTGCTATTTTTTCCTGAATTTTGTGGAGCTGACCAGTCCCTAAACTCACCTCACCTAAAAGGTTGCTCCAGATGTGGTCCAGTGAATGGAGCAGTGCCAAGTGGCATTTGATTGTGTGAAAAACACTCTGTGGAGAACTTTCCCTGTTGTTTTCAAGAGGTGAAAATTTTTTGAAATGTCAGATTTGAAACAGAATGAAAAAAGTTATTGAAAAAGAGTGCTTGGAAATTCAATTAGCATTCGTCTTCCTTGTTATTACCTCCTGGGATGCCCATTTACCTTGACTTTAAAGTCAAGGTGAGAAGTCATGTTTTCTTAAAAATTTGTAAATGTGATAACTCAATAAGTAAATCATACTGTATGTGCATCAATTATCTTTTGGGCTTTTTTTTTTACTTTATAAAATAGTACAGTGGAGATTAGATAGGAAAATAAGCAGTCAGAGAGCGCAGCAAAGGGCCTCAGGATGGTGTATGTATGTCTTCTCGAATACTGTTGGGTGGTGCCTGGTCTAAACATATTTAAACTACATAAAAAGAATATTTAAATGTTAATATCTATTGACGTTCAATGGAAAGACATTTTTTTGATTCTACAAAACGAAATCATACTTTAGTCATACTTTTTTTTTTAACATTATCACATAAGTCATCTTTAATACATCTGATTCATTGTGATCTCATCAACAATAATGTTAGTAAAAATATTTTCATTGGAAAGTCACAGACATTACAGGCCATACATTGCCATCCAACGTTTTGCCATGTTTGACAACAACCTTATTTCTTTCTGAGAAGCTATTAAGTTGTGTGACACATCATTTTGGAATCTGGTTTTGGGTTGGGTAAACTATTGAAAGATCGGAGCAGATCTTAGGAAATCTGGCTGCTTAGTCACAGGCTCATTGTAGCTAAAAAAAAAAATGCATCAAAAATGCAGTTAAATATATACAGTGCTGTACGGAAGTATTTACTAGTATTTTTTTCTTATCTCATCTCCCCAGGACAGACATATAATAAAGTTTGCAGACAACTGAGTTAATGTCTCTCTGGTCCATGATACAGATCGTAATGATGGGCCAGTTGTGGATGACTTTGTAGCATGGTGTTGGAGTGTTTTTGGACATTAATGTGTTTAAAACAAAGGGAATGTCTATTGATTTTCATAAACAAAAAACTTCTCCCCTTCCCCTATGTTTAAATTCATGGTCAGGAAATTAAGGTTGCAGAGAAATATAAATATCTGGGCACCATACTTGATAAAAAGTTGACAT